TAACATCTAAAGAAAAGGGGATGTGTTGATAGGAGTTATGTGGGTAGTTCAGCTTCACCACTAGGGGGCTGTCTAACCAAATTGTGATATATACTGTGTCGTAGAAGCAGCGGTGGGTTATGTTTACGTGCATGGATGTGAGCCACATTAAAATAAAGAAGCTTGCTCACTACTACTGATGTTTTATTGAAAACACGACATGATCCTCTTGCGTTTGTGTTTCTGGGAGTTCCTTTTCAATAAAAACAAACGTTTAATGTTTTCTCCTCCGTTCGTCGCTGAATTTCTATATGCCGACTGGAATCGTTGCTCTATTGACTTGTTTCTACACGGACATATAAACAGTGCTGGTACGAGTTCCGCTGGTTCTGAGTCATAACTTGTTACTCGGTGGGAATTTCATACATTTAAAACCACCGTTTTCAGACTATGTGCTGGAAACTAACGCAGTGCTAGCGACCTCCAATGAACCTACATACCGAGGGTTCAGACGTTAGCTCCCCGCGGCCAGAATGAGCTCTGTGCCGCTGAAGAGGACCTACAAGCAGCTGCCTGTTTGTGTTGTGGAGGACCACCACGACGTAAGCCTTCTCCGTGTGAACACAGCAGCGAAACACAACCACATAGTTCTGCTAAAGCTAACGAACGAGACGTTAGCCGGCGTCTCGTTCTTATAACAACAGTGGACCTCCGTTTGTATATGAACGAGATAAATCCTCCCAGTGTTCAGAAACAGATTAATGTTGATTATTCATATCATATTACAGTCAGACAAATGGTGAGCTGATGAACTCAGTGATAGATTTGTGTTTCTTATCAGACTTTTAGTCACGGTCAGGTCCGTCCACGTGACACTCATGACGTCACTGGAGTAAAAACTGACGTTGTTATAGAGAATTTTTATTATTGTTACCGATGCATTATTGTGTATTTTATAACTTTGCACAAGTTTATCTAGTTTACTTTGTCTTAACTGCTAAAACACTGAATCCCATTCTATGAACGAAATAGTGATTTGTCCATTTAGAGAGCCGGTGTTGTGCCAAAAACTGATTTCCAATGTTTCTGTGTATTTTTTATGTGTAATATCTTTACGTATGTTCGTAAATAGACTTCGGTGAACAGGGTTTACAAAGGGGTTATATAGAGAATTAAAACAATATCTGTTTTTCAAGTATCTTTACAACTCTCTGCTATTGTACTTACATTATAATCAATCCGGTCCTTATCCCCACTTAAAATATTTTTACAGAAATATTTGTATTTGTATAGCAGAAATGGCAGCAAATATTACAATATTTGCTGCCATTTCTGCTGTCCTCTTGGCCAGCTTACTCTTACAAAAGACATTTTTAATGTTAATGAGTTTTTTAAACTGGATAAATAAAGGTTATATAAAAGTCGCTGCCAAAAACTGATTGCGGCTTCTACCTTGTTACACGAATGTTGTTTGTGGCTCAAGATGACTTTATGTCATCCATGAGGGATGCATTTGACATATGTTTCACATATTATAGCCCAACAAGTTACTTATAGCAGTTTAAATACGAGCAATCAGTTTTTGGCAGACAATCACTTTTTGGCACAACACCGGCTACTCCTTTGGCAAAACCTTAAATATGTCTTTTGGAGTTGAGCAGTATCATCTGCTCTTGTAGCAAACGTCCGAGCTCGCTCACTCAGATTCCGGGTGAAGCACTTTGTCATCTGCAGGAAATAGGATTGTTCAACATAACAGGTTACTGCAAACCCATCACACCATCTGCAGACGCAGGTTTCTCACTGGAGCTCGATCAGGAGTCGTAACAGCATGTCTCCACACTGCTTTTTATCACTACCAGTATGAAGGAATCCACTCAGTGACATAATGTGAGATATGAATGTCTAAACCAAAACAAAGAATAAGGACTGTTTCTTGTAGTTGTTGGTTGTTTGTTGTGTTCTGGTCCTTCACACAGACACAGTCTGTTTTTTACGCTGGGTTCTCCTCTCCTTAACAGACTCATGGTGAACATGGACGGTATATCCTTGGTTTTTAACATAGCCATAGCAACAACAGCTTGACACCTCCTCCTCACTGTTCAGCCAGTGTGGTCTAATCTACTGCCCAGGTTTATGTTTTGTACTCCTTGTTGAAAGACACACTCGCACTGCGCCAAGAATGTGAAGCAGTCGTGTAGTGAGTCAGGTTTGTCCATTGGCTGGCATCAGTCAGCGAGGGCTAGAACAGACCAGGCTCATTATATGAACCTCTGTAATAATCCTGCGTTACTTATTTGGCTACATTTTCATCTCATTGTGCTTGAAGCAGGAGAAGTTCGGCCACAGCAGGACTGAGGCACATCATTTTGAGGGGTTGCAAAGTTAAACGTGTAAATGATTCCATGCTTTGCTAATGTTTCTCATGTTCAGCAGTGTAATCTGATCCTGTAACGTAGAAATGTTCACGAATGATGTCAGTCATGTTGAAATCCTTTCCAAAGAAGATTTTGTGCTTTTAATGATAATATTAAAATTATCGTTCACATTAGCTTCACATTGCTAATCTTACTGTTTCTCAACCAGGTGGTGTGTCACATCTACCGGGCCATAGCTTCGAGGCATCTCCCAATGAAGAACATAAAGATGATTCATTTGGACTCCCACCCTGACCTCCTCATCCCTGTCAACATGTCTGCTGACACAGTGTTTGACAAGGAGAAGCTGTTCGGGTATGTTATGGGTCAAACTGTGGCTTGTGTTGGTCAAAGCTCCTCGTAGGTGAGAGCTGGAAGAAAGTATGAGACGTAAACATTAACTAGACGTGCTTCAGGTGATGACGTGATATTAGTCTCTGCACATGTTTACAACAAGATGTGAAGGAAGGCGACTTCTAAAAGAGGCGTAGTCGTGTTCTCAGCACTTGACTAATGTTGGCTGTGAGTGTGACTAAGTGATGGCTACGATCTACCTACAGTTTCCTCCCACAAGGAGTCCAGAGTCCCTCAGATGGGGACTGAAAATGCTCCAAACATGGAAACAAACCAACCCGACCACAGGAGGCGCGACAATCTGCTCGTTCTTTCAGGTCAGCATTGTGGAAGTGTTCAGGGTGAGGGTCCAGGATTAGACTGATGCAGATATATAAATACATGCAGCCTTTCAGTAGGAAGTACATCTGTGTGAGTTGGGTCATGTTTACATGTATAAAGCACAAAGTCTTGGTTAATATTGTAGCAGTTTGATCCATATGCTGAGCTCTGACAGCCAATGAAAGGTCCCTGTTAGGTGGTGTGGAGGAGTGTTTGCCTCCTCATCTCCTCTGCTGGTGCCTCAAGACAATAGTCACACTTAGCATTGTGAGGTATGTCATTACTGCCAACAGCTCCTGGAAAAGGATGGAAAATACCAGTAAATGCCTGCACATGTAAGTGTGACTGTGGGTATATGTGCAGGCACGGGGGGTTAAATTCAGATGTTTGAACAGAAAACAAGACGCTTCCTCTGGTCACCAGTCTGTCACTGGGACAACCACCAGTGTCTTTGACTGTGGGACAGAACCACCACAGCACGAGTCACGGCCAGCACCTTGTTGCAGTGAGGCAGTAGTGCGAACCACTGCACCGCTTGTTCTCTGTGTTTTTGCAGCAGGAGTGTTGGTGGGAGCTCTTCAAACAACACGTCACACGTCGTGGTGGTGAATGAATGAGCCTGATATGCATGTAAAATGATTTAAATAATAAATTAGTCAATCATTCGTAATGAACAATCTTCTTTATTGTTCCGTTAAAACAAAGTGAAATCGACTTTTTGCCTGGATATAAACTTGTAAGACTCGCTTCCACAGACAGTTTTGCGGTGAAAAGTTCAGCTTACAAATGCTCACATTACAGATGTGCTGCTCAAATTCATTGTTGGAAATAGAAGCCACAGACGTTTGGAAGCAGGTTAGGAACAGGAGAGACGATCAGTCTGCAGCAGTATGGAGCGCAGTCGTGATGATGTGTAGAGGAGGTCTTCTTTGGATAAACAGTAAACGTATCATATGGTGCCAAGAGAGGAGCCGTTGTACTGTATGAGGTGGTCAGGAGTGAGGGTGGTGTGGGACGTGCATGAGGACAGCCTCCGTGGAGCCGCTGCGAGGGGTCAAGGATGATCTGTGACAGCAGGGTAGCAACAAGAGTGACAGGGAAGCTTCACAACACGCTATGATGCTGTGTGATGGAGGAGGACGTTGGGTGTAGAGCAGGGGTGGGCAACTCCAGGCCTGGAGGCCCGGTGTCCTGCAGGTTTTAGATCGCACCCTGGGTCAACACACCTGAGTCACATGATTAGTTCATTACCAGGCCTCTGGAGGACTTCAGAAATGCTGAGGAGTCATTTAGCCCTTTAAATCAGCTGTGATGGATCACGGACACATCTAAAACCTGCAGGACACCGGCACTCGAGGCCTGTTGTCCACCCCTGGTATAGAGTATGAGCTACAGCGACACCTGCAGGGAGCAGCTGAGAGACGTGAGCCCACTGCAGCCGTGGACTGTGTGGGTGGATGTGGGTGAACTGATATTTATGTCACCCCAATCTTGCATGTTTTCCTTTTTTCAGTGAACTGAGTATAGAAAACTGGATAATGCCGATGGTGTACGCCGGTCACGTGTCCTCTGTGGTGTGGCTGCATCCATACTGGGCCCAGCAGATTAGAGAGGGAGAACACAGCATGACTGTGGGCAGAGACTCATCCACCACCACCATCAGGTAGGACAGGAAGAAGAACGGTACAGCAAGAGACATCTCTGTGCCTCGTTGATCTCCTGTCTTCGTCCTCTCCTGTCTCTGCAGAGTGACCAGTACAGACAACTACTTCCTCAGCGATGGTCTTTATGTGTGCGAGGAGCAGCTGGACAACCCAAAGCATTTCAGCCTGAGCGTGATCCGAGTCGATCCCGTCAGACCAGGTCACGGCTCGCTGACAGGTACTGCGTGTGATGGCGGCGACACATCTCAAAAAAGTTGCAACAGAGGCAGCAAAAGGCTGGAAAATGAAGTAGTACTAAAACGATGCAGCTGGAGGTGCTGGGTGACACGACCGGGGAGAGCAGAGGTTCACCAGTCTGGGAGAAACTGTTCGGAATAATGTTCGTCTACATAAAATCACAAAGACTGTCTTATAATACTGTCGAAATACTGTGAGGATCTGCAGAAGTGGCTGATCTTTGGGCCTTCAGGCACCTCTGCATTAAACCAGGCCTGATTCAGAAATGTCTCCTCTGGGCTGCTGCTCATTTATAATGGGATGAGGCAAATCAAACTGTGTCATCCCGACTGGAAAACCCAGTCGGGAGAGACCATCTGAGCTCGTGTTTGGATATGTTTACTTTGCTCTTGATGAGATTTGGAGTTTGCATGAGGTAACAGCAGAGGGCGCTGCTATTGTTCATTTGAACCTTTCTTCTACTTTTTGATCTGACATTTAATTTCAGAGCAGAGAACAGAAAAGGACACAGAGGAATGTTCAGTCAAAAGAGCGCGAGCAGAGCGGAGGAAGTCCGGCGAATCCAGCAGCTCACAGCCTCCGTCAGCAAACACTGACTCGCTGCAACCAGCAGAGGGCAGCACAGCCGAGGATGGAGCTGACGGCGATGGCGCAGGAGGAGGCGGTGTCGACGATGAAGGATCAACCAGCTACATCGTGAAGAGAATATCTTCATTTGTAAGTGAGACGGAGCCGTACATTCTGGACGTCGACCTGGATTTCTTCTCCTGTAAGAACCCGTTCAAAGAACTGTACACACAGGTACGCGTCCACCCTGCTGCTTCCTCAGGGACTGAATGAAACGCTGTTTCAGCTTCTGCTCATAAGCTCGTTTTACTGTGAAACATTGTTATTAGTCTGTTGAATTAAATTCGTCTCTTAAACAACAACATCAGTTTAAACAATAGCAGATATGAAACGAGCTCATGGGTTAAGATTGTAAACAACAATAATGATGATAAAAGATTTTACAGGGGGAAAGGTATGTTCTGGCCTCCAGTTTGGATTCCAGTAAGATTAGACTGTGAGACAGATGAGTGCCGGGCATCTATGAAGCGTGTCTGTATCTGAGTGGATTGAACTACAGTGGAACCCGACTTACCAAATAAATTCGTTCCAGACGGTCTTTCGTAGGTCAGAATTTTTGTAAGTCGAGGCACCTTTTCCCATCGCCCTTTGAGTGAGGCGCTGCTGGCTGAAGACGAAGTTCTTGGTGCAGGAGGACCTCGCTCACATTTATCAATTTCTCTCTTTGTTTCCATCGAGAGCACTTCACGCTTCTTCTTTTCACTCCAATCACTTGAAGTTTTTTCAGCCCCATTATGAATGAACGATAGGCTAATTGCAAACGTAAAGCACACGAAGTAGCGCTGCAACAACAACACGTCTTTCACGTGGAACAGCAAGTGCGAAAGCCACGGGGTTATCACATGATTCGGAAGGCATCGTGGGCATTGTGCTGCACCACGGACAGAAATATTGAATTCCTTCGTAACTTGAATCTTTCGTTAAATGGGGTCTTTGTAAGTCGGGTTCCACTGCATTAGACGTTTGTCCGGCTTTAGAATCACTGTCATTACTGTCGATTGGCACGCCTTCTGCTGTTTTCCAGAGCACAGAGTTAGCCTCTGAAGAAGTGCTTTTTTGGCCTTTTGGTTCTTAGTGTAAATCTTTAAGGCGTGATAAATGTACGGTATTTATCCCTAAAGCTGGAAAACATAGTGTCACACGCCTACGGTAACCAACATAAGTCAGCCTGAGTAAAGCAGAATCGTTCAATAAAATAAATAGAAGCTGAAAAAGTTCAGTGAGATGAAGCTGAGGCAGAATCAGGAGTACAGTTAAATAAAAGAATACAATTGCATAGTTAACAGAATAAAGAGTTATAGATGCAGGTGTTCTGATTTTCTGTCTTCGTATCAGTGGAGGTGAAACATGAGTTGAGCTGCATGTAGGCGGTGCAGACGGAGCAATATATCCATCCATGTGATGGGTCACATGTTGCTAGCACCACCCTCTGTAACTTAACTCAGTGTCCAGTGTGGTGTGATTGTCCTGACTGAGTACTCCCAGAGTGTTTTAGTTGGTTTAATATCAGTTACTGATGTCCCTGTATCGATATCTGCATACAGAACATCACAGTGCTGTCCGGACTTTGTTTCCCAGCCCTACTGCCTCAGGGTTTCATGGAGCAGCTGATCTAGGGGGCGCTGTGTTCCTGACGCTCCGTGCTTCGTCCTGGATCCTCACCCTCGTTCTTTCTGTGGCTCGTACAGCTTCAGGCTGCTGGGTGTCAGGTGGACATCCGTCCATCTCCTCTTGTGGTCAGCTATGGAGGCTGTAGTTTTAAACCCCACAGCAGACCGAGTCCAATAGTAGCAACAATCCCACTGCTGAGTTGTTTTTAGAATAATCTCTCTTCTGGCCAAGCAGCTACTGGTAGCAGGAGAAAGCTTTGTGAATACAGGCCAGACGTTAGCACTGAACTAATACTGAAAGAAGCTGTTTTAGTTGGAGACGTCCTCATCTTGTGTCTGTTGGTGAAAAAAACAAATGGTCCTGATGTTGATTCTGGGCAGGATGAGGCAGAAGTGTCTGATTTTTATTTTCTTGTTTTTATTTGTGTGGTTGGTGGTTCGCACTGCTGCCCCAGAGCAAGAAGGTCCTGAGCTTCTCCTGTTGTCCGTGTTTGTGTGGGTTCTCTCCGGCTTCCTCCCAGAGTGCAGAGACATGCAGTTAGTGGGGTGTTGGGTTAACTGGTGATTGTAGATCATGAATGGTCGTCTGTGTCGTAGCCCTGTGACAGACTGTACCCTGTTTATGCTCCATCCGAGTTAAGACTTCTTCATGGGGCTGCATGAAAACCATTTCTAAATATATAGATTTAATGAACCTGGAGCCAGACGAAGCAGCAGAAGAGAGTTCATTAATTAACCAATAAAAATGAACGTGTGGTACAAACCCTGTTAATGCGTTAAGCAGCCTCCTGCAGCACAGTCCACACACACTGGATCCATTCTGTCATGTAATGTGTTACACTGGCTGGAGCGGCTGGAGCTCAGGAGGTACAGCCCACCTACTGATCGCAAGGTCGGTGGTTCAATCCCTGGCTCCTCCAGTCTGCGTATCCTTGGGTAAGACAATAACCCCAAGTTGCTCTCCGACGCATCCATCGAGTGTGAGAATGGGTGTGATGGGTGAATGTGTGTATAAGAATCAGTCCATTTAAAACATCTGTTCATCTTCATTACACAGTCACCTCAGCTACATGCTGTCTGTTTGTCCAGGAGGAGTACGCCATCCTCCAGGAGCTCTACAGCTTCAGAGGGCCCCGCCTGGATGCTGATGAGGTGAAAAATCCTTTGAGTCACAACATTTCTCCACCAAGCATCCATACAGTCCATAGATATTTGTGAATGACACAGAAGAGAGTGAAACACAGACTTTAATTTAAGGGAATTAATAATAGTGTTAAAGAGGAATGTAAATTAGTATAGAACACACGTGTGAGTGAGGAAGACACCAGAGCTGATTCCAAAAGTGTGTTTGTTAGCTGTTGCTGTGGAGGAGTGGAGTGTGACGCTCCACTCATGTACAAATACACTTAACATCATCAACGACAGCACCGCGATGAATCCTGACCTGCTGCAGCTGATGCACGGCCGTAATGATGTCCCCACCTGTGACATGGACGATGCAACCATGAGTAAAAAGGTCCCTAAGAGACACTTAGGAGAAGCAGTAGCAATGTCTGCTGTATCCAGCAGGGGGAGCAGTGTGGAGGCGCATTCATTTACAGGCTTGCTGCGTTGTATAGTTCTATAACTTTGTTCAGGGATTCTGATTATGACAGCTATATCTGGAACACGTCCTCTGCCATCGATGTGTTTTACACTTTAATAAAATGAATCACATTAAATTTTTGCGTTACTGTTAAAATCCCATTTTTAAAAGAATGCAGTACAAGTACTGGTTATCACAGTTTGCTGCTGCAGGGCAAACAGTCGGTATTTGCAGTGTTGGCCCCACCTCTGCAGTCTGCCCTGTCGATCAGCGTCTGACTCCTGACTGAGGTGATCCGTTCTTTAATCGAGGCTTGGAGTTCGTCACAGTTAGTGGGTCTTCGTCGTCTACCTGCCTCTGGAGGACTGGCCCAAAGTTTTCCGTTGGATTAAGGTCTGGGCAGTTTCCTGGGCCTGGACCAAACATTCAGTGTTTTATCCCCCGAGCCACTTGGTTATCACGTTGGCCTCACGGCCCCGCCATGTTTAAACAGGCTGTGTGTTCTTCGGCAGACTGTTCTTGGAAGAAGTTGCTGTGGGAGGATGTTTTGGTCCCGTTCTTTATTCATGGCTGTGTTTTTTGGCAAAATTGTGACCGAGCCCACACATGAATGGTCTCAGGATGCTTTACTGTTGGCATGAGACAGGACTGATGGTGGCGCTCACCTCTTCTTCTCCAAACAATCCTTTTTCCAGCTGCCCCGAACAATCAGAAAGCTGCGTCATCTGAGAAAAGGACTTCAGCCCAGTCCTCAGCAGCCCACTCGCTGGACCTTTTGCAGACTGTCGGTCTGTCCCTGATGGGCTTTTGGAGAGAAGTGGCTTCTTTGCTGCCCTCCTTGACACCAGGCATCCTCCAAAAGTCTCCAAAAGTCTTCGCCTCACTGTGCGTGCAGATGCACCCACAGCTGCCTGCTGCCATTCCTGAGCAAGCTCTGCGCTGGTGGCACTCTCATCCCATCTTTAGGAGACGGTCCTGGCGCCTGCTGGACTTTCTTGGGCTCTTTTTATGCAACACAGTGATGGCTGCACATGTTTATTTGCAGGTAACCATGGTTAGCAGGAAGAACAATGATTTTGAGCATCACCCTCATTTTAGTGATAGCAGTCAGCATGACATGAGGATCTCCAGCCTGGTGCTCGTTAGTCTCAGCAGGTCCTTTTATGCAGTGCAGTGGAGATGGCTTTGTTGGTTCATTTTCATGGCAAAGAAAGACTTTGTTTCTCTGACCTCTCTTCATCACATTCTGCAGGATATGCAAATTGCATCATAAAGCCTGAAGCAGCAAACTGTCTGAAAACTCATTTTTGCGTCATTCTCAAAACTTCTGACCACGACTGTCGTAGAGACTCGTTTTTAGTTTCTTTTTAATCTTCTAATGTCCCGTTTTCCTGAAGGCACCATGAGGTTGCTGTTTGCTCACATTTCCAAACACCCAGCCTGCCCACGTGAAACGCAGTGCACATCTATCAAGCTAACGCTGCTGAAAGAACATTACCTCTAAGGTTCGAGGACAGGACCGAAAATGATTTAAAAAGCAGTCGGTGTCCGTAGAACGACTGTGAGATGCCTCCATAAAGCCCAAACAGAAGGTTTGTATGCAAAACACAGAGGATTATGGGTCGCTGAAGACTTTTGCACAGTGTGCACAATAAAATCTAAAGAATAATGAAGGATGTGTTTATAATTCAAACAGAGGCCTGAAGAAGTAACGACCCAGCAAACATCTGACATGAAAATGAAATTCTACCCGGCTCAGAAATAACTTCCACATCTGGTTTGGCATCTACGAGGAATATTATTATTAAAGTGTAAATAGTTTTGGTGATCTGAGGTGTACATGTCTGAACGGTCAAACTGACAGTAAAGTTTGATCCATTTATTTCACATTTTCAAAACTTAACTGGAAGTTTTGATGGGCGACGAGGTTTACGGTGAACGCTATCCAAATTCAGTGCAGGTTTGTTTACATGGCACCAAATCACAGCAGCACTCATTGCACTTCATATTACAAGACAGCTCGTACAGTTATACTGAGAAAATCATCTATAGCTGACTCTTGGTGACACTCTGCAAAGCAGATGTGCCCCAAGGCGACTCCAGCAGCTGGCGGCTGCAGCTTTGAGCGGCTGTATCTGTACAAAGACATCCGAATACTTCAGCTAATTGTAGAAATGCAGCGTAGAAGGAGAAACGGAGAACGTACCTGAACACTGACCAGCACAGGCAACGCTGCGTTCCATAAAGATGTTGTGCTTTTAGTAAAGTCTCTTGTGTTGTTATTGAACAGAAATCTTAAAGCTGTGCTTTCATTAAAGGCAAAACAAATAAACACTGAATGTGTGTTTGTGTGCTTTTAAGGAGGAGCTCGGTGAGTGTGTAGATCATCGTATACGCCAGTTAGAAGACCTGGAAGCAGCATTTGCTGATCTACTGGATGATGATGGAGAAGAGACGGTTACACGCTGGGCCACAAACCCTGGGTAAATCAATCTTCTGTAACAGAGACTTGAAAGTTAGAGGCGTAACAAAGGAGGAACGAAAGCTGGGAAACTTTGTGCGTTGGTCAAACACTGAGCTGTTTGAAGGTAAAGCTGAAAAGTTGTGAATGTGTTTTTTATCATGTCCCAGCTGGCTGTCCCTGTGCTTTATGCTCATGAGAATAAGAAGTACTTTCTTTATCCCTGATTTTGTTCCAGCGGGTGAAACGTTCATAAAATACTAATCTGATAATCCGACAGACGTCTCTGTGCCAGCAGAGGGTGTTGAAGGTTTTCTCTGTCCGTGAGACGGGGCTGGAACCGTCTGTTAGAGAAGCTGCTGGGGTCGTGTCCATGGTGGAAACAGAGGAACAGAAGTGTCCTCATAACCACAGATCAGCCTTATGGCTTATTTAATCTGTTGGTCTCATGAGTTTCATGGCTGCGCCCCACCAGACCACACTTACCTCTGCTGATGGGTCATTATTCTGCTGCAGACACTGAAGGACCTCACGCTCCCTCATAAACAGCCTTTTTTGTATGTAGCATCTTTGCTGTTGAGGAACATGTTCATCCATGCTCTCCAAAAACGGTTTCAAATTTAAATTAATGTGACCATAGAGCAGTTTTCTAGTTTGCTGCAGACCATCTTATATAACCTTTTTTCCACATATGATGGCATTTGTAGTTCACATGTGGCCTTTTCTTTGCATGATAACCTGTATTTGTATGTGACACAGTGAACTCTGTGCACAGGCACTAAGTATTAGCACGCAGTGATTTCCATAATAGAATCAGGCCTCTGTTAGTTTAGGGTTGTTGCCACTTTGGAGAGTAGAAATCACCATGAAACAGAATCAGTCCATTTCCCGTTAAATACCATCATTTTTACTGTCTACACCAGGGGTCGGCTCTTTAGTCCTTATACTGCGGCTCCGCGTGGTTTGGGAAAATAAATTACAAGTATTTAGCTGAAGTGTATTTTATTTATATTAGTTCTTTTTAACTTGTAGTTCTAAACTGGAAGATTATTGTGATTTTGAAATATAAAAATAAAATTATATCTTATTATTTTTTCGTCGCTAAAATAAGCGTCACACTCGCGGAAGCCGGTGTACCCGCCGAAACGGCGTGCATTTATCGAGACTTTCAGCCCCAGGTAGGCCAGTTATGGATCTTCTGATCCACATTATGTCAGCAGCTCCACCGTGAACTATGTTAAAGACAAACACGCTCACGCCTCACAGACGACAGCTTACAGTCCTGCGTGAAGATGAAAGTACAGCCTCGATCTGCAGACGCTGTGCGCAGAGGTTCAGGGGCAGAAGTCCTGTTGTAAACATATCACAGCAGACCCCACGATGTTTGCATGAACACGCTTTTCAGCTTCTCTTTATTGACCACTTTTCACACACGGTTGCTGTACGCACACAGCCGGCTGTAGCTTTGCAGCTCACAGCCCGACACACAACAGCAGAGAGAGCACAGACGTAAAGGCGGCGAGGCGTGACTGCGGATGCTCAGGTGCGTCCGCCTCCCCTGCAGCGGCGCTGCAGACCACGCCCCGCCACACACATTAACCTGGTAAAATACATATTTAGGCAGAATTTTGCAAATATCTATTTTTCATCTTTCAGCAGCATCGAGCTTTTTTCCAATTACTTTTTAAAAGTCAGGTCAAGGCTCCAAAAGCCCAAAGGAGATATGAGGGGGGCTCACAATTGTTTTTTTCTGGATCATTTTAGTTCAGCTTTCCTTTTGTTATATTTCTTTAAGAGTTCAAAATGTGTTCATTACATAAATAAAATGTAATTTTCTCTGTAGCACTTCATGGATTTCATAAGCAGCACACCTTAGTTGTTCACACAAACATAAAAGTGATTTCTTTTGCGTGGAAATCGCGTCCAAACGGCTCTTTGGGTGTTAAAGGTTGCAGACCCCTGGTCTACACAGATTAAATCATGGTTGTATTTAAGCTGAACACTGAGTCAGATACAAAGTCTGAGAAATTAGTTAGAAACTGTGAGTGAGCAGTAAAGAGATGATAAATGACAGAAAAGTGAAGTTTTGCAGCTGTGATGGACGCGGCCTCTAAGGGGGCGGGGTATGGGGCTGCAGAGAGGCGTGGAAATGTTTGCATCGCTATCCCGAACATATCTGGTCTGGGTGTTTGTTCTACAGCTGTGCCAACATTTCCATGCGCTGTGTGTTGGCATTCACTCTGAAGCTCGTCCTCTCCACAAATTCAGAACGAATCTTCAGAGGAGCGCGGCTCTGTCCTGATTATTGTCGGCACAAGCTTCGATCATCACAGCCCCACCTGTGTCACCCATTCGAATGTACACCAGCCTTTTGAAAGCTTTTGAGCCAGCTCCACCTTAAATTTGAAGCAACAAACACCCCTGTGATCAGTTATGAGTGAGTGAAAGAATCTGTTTGCCTGGGATGAGCTAGTGTGCCTCTATGAGCAGCCCCCACACCGTCTTACTGTTTCTGTGTTTTTCAGCATGGATTCACTACCTCAACTGGTTTCCAGTCTAAAGGCAAGAAATTCATGCCCTGACTATGAAATGGTAATAATAATTGTATATAATAATCATAAATAATAGCAATAAAGTTATATTTAGTGAACGGGAACATATAAATAAATATGAATAAAGTCGCCTCATCACTCCTCCCTCAGGTTCACCAGGCAGGGTTAACCTGCGACACAGTCGAGCTTCCTCATCACATCAGCTCTGATGAAGAGATTGGCAGACTTCTCTCAGCTGTGCAGCTCTTCCTGAAGGTCCTTCCCAAACCCACACTGGTGACATTGTCCAGGTAAATTCGCTCCACAGATGGTTAAATGTCCTTTAACAGTGTAGTGACACAGAATGAGGGTCTAACTATCTTCATGTGTGTTTTCAGGTCCAGTTTGGATGAATACTGCCCAGTGGAGCAGGTGGATTCAATCCAGAGGAGAGTACTGGCTATGCTGGAGGGCCTGTATGGAGCACTAGACGTACACAAAGACTATGACAACAGCAGCACAGAGACTGGAGAGACTGGAGAGCAGTTGCCACAAGGATCCTAACAGATACACAAAACCACATCTCTCATTGGGATGATTTTATCAAGATAAACACAGCAGATAAATACTAACACATCAGCATGTTAGTGTTGGAAACAGGACAAATAGTTTGGAGATTTCCTCCCACATTGTGTATAAGTAGGGTCTGGATCCTTTGTTTGGGAATTCCCCAGGACCGTGCAGGAGAGCCTTGTTGTGACTGAATTCCTTCTTGCAAGAATAAACTCAAATATAACTCTAACAGCGTGACTTCTTTTATTTACAGTTTTTTCTGAATGCTTAAACCCTAACTGTGATTCCTGTAGCACAATCTCTAAAACTATTCAGA